TGCATTTGAGAAATTATCAATCTTCTCCGTTTGCGACTTTTCTCATTAATGCTAACTTCCATGCACAGGTCTTCGTCTCTAACTAGTTCGCACCTTTTCTTTTAGCAGACGAGCCCTCAAATTTATCTCATTTAAGGTAACACCCTGATCTCTCTTTCTTTTAAGCTTGCTTTCTTTATTAGGGTTTCTAGAAAAGAGGGCTAAGGGCTATTGGTCTGTCTTTTTTGCACATTAGCAAACCCTTTGTCATAGATGCATTTCCACATTTACCTTTAAGTTTGACTTGGGGAAATATTCATATTTACTCATATTTATGTGTTGGAATGAGTTTATAATGGATTCCTTCAACTTGAAATATGTAGAGCGACATGGGATAACTTGTCAGTGTGTGTGGATCAAGAGACACTAGATAGTACCTCTGTCTTTGCAGTTGAAGGTGATTTAGAGTGTGCTTTCACAACGGCGAGACCCTCAGAAGACTGAGGGTGATTATCTTTAAGGAAGACAAGAGAGCATGTAGTAAATTCAACAGGTATGTTGTTCTCCTACATGAATGTCTATTCTCTTTGATAGGATTCCATCCCCTTCAACGGTTTCAAGATCGACATGTCTAATCATTTATTAATTTCCCTTTCACAATTACATCTAGTAGACCAACATCAAGATCTTCTAGTATTGGTGCGAATACAAGAAGGGTGTTTTGACTACACTCTTATTGCTCCGCTTTAAGGGTCAGCGTAGCTCCGCTGATTTGGCTTGGGGTTAAGGCATGTTATCTCTTAAGTAATGTACCAAAATGTTCAAAGTATATTTAGAGAGCGTAAAACACTTCAAAGATCGGTAATTCACGGTTACTCCCCTCAACGAGGTGACCCATGGAAACATATATACAATAGAGCATGGGCCTCCCTACCACTGTTTGGACAGGTTTTCCAAGTTCGCATCAGAGTTATTTCCTGATGGGTTTGAGATCACATGTTTACAAAATGGATGACATGTATCAAGAGGAAATTCACCTGAAAAGGCAATTGGTATCTTTCTTTAAGGGTTTGGTCTACATTGGTAGAGTTGTATCTACTGACGGGGAAGAGAAAAGACAAGGGAAACAATACATAGAGACACACTTGCAGGTGGATTCTAGCTCGAAAGAGGCTAGGAATATCATTTTTGGTAAGCAGCAAGGGGGAGCCCCCTTTTCTTAAATAACCTTTGTTTTTTTTTTCCTAACTTGTTTCTTATTGGCTTGCAAACAAAATGAAATGTTACAAGAGAATGCAACAAATGAAAATGACTCATCAGGTAGTGCCTTTTTTGGTGGGTGCTCTTGAACATGTGACTTCATACACAAGAGAGAGAGTGAATTCCGGAGGTTTAAAAACCAATGATTTAAATAAAAACTATTTTCAAAATTAGAGTTTGAAAATATTTTATCAAAAGTGTTTGAATAAGTATCCAACAAAAATTTAAAGAAAAGAAATTAAGTGGAGAATAAAGAGATATTGGAAGAGAAAACAACACTAGAGAATTACAAAGGTCCATCCTAATGAAGTGACCTACTACTCTCCCCAAGAATTGATCTTGAGAGTATTGATTATTTTTTGAGAGCTTTTAGAAGGTTAAGCCCATGAAATCTCTTATACAAGGAACTAAAGTTTTCAAATAACTTCTAACCAAACAATAAATCGGGCTTGAAGCGATTAATCCCCAAACCAAACAATGAAAAGACTTAAAGTGGTCAGTTTTCACACCAAATAGAGATTTTGCACGGGATGATCTCGAATCAATATGAAGTTGAGTTGGATATCCTTTGAACCGAATCACAGTTTTATATGAGCTGACCACAAACTGAACCGAGATTTATATCAGGATGATTTCAAACCTACAGAGTTTTTCTACCGGACTAAATTAAGAAACCAATAAAGATTTTACCACCAGATCGATCTCGAACCAATGTAACTTTTAACTAGGATGACTCAAGAACCTTTGTAGAGATTTTCAATGGCTGATTTCCATGAACCAAAAGAGAACTTTTTCAATGGTGTAGGTCACAAACCAAATAGAGACTCAAACTAATTCCCCAAATACAAATAAGATATTTTAAAGTGGTTTAACTCCTAATCAAATAATCACTTCTTAAGGAAGAATAATTTAATCAAGAAAAAATAATCTAATCTTGATAAGTTTACAGTTATACTCTCACACAAAACAATATCCTCACTGAGAATCAAGAATACCCTTAAAGTATTATAGCTAAAATGTATGAGAAAACAAGAATGATTTTGAGAGGTGATGAGAGAAATGAAAAGCGAGATTTTTCACGTTTTCTGGATGTTTTGAAATGAAAGAAAAGCTTTCTATTTATAGACCAAGAAATAGTGTGAATTTAAAAACAATCCATGGATCAATTTGATGACATAATCAATTAGGTGTATCCAATAATCAAATATTATAGCCCAAAAAGGAAGGCTGAGATATATTGTCATTACCAATCATTAAGAGATTGTAATAATTGGTTATGGACGTGATTAGGCATCATTTAATCGATTTGGTTATAAATCTAATTGATTAGATAGTTAAAAAAATGTTTTCCTAATCAAGTAGACAATCCCTTAATCAATTAGCCATGTTAAAAAAACATTTTTTTTGGTTATTTTAATTAAAAAGTGAGCGTCTTGCGTGCACGCGTGTGTGGGTGGGTGCGTACGTGCGCGTGCCTATGCGTGCATGTATATGTGCGCGTGTGTGCGCGTGTGCGTCTGTGAAGGAAGTGACAAATTTTCCGTATGATAATCGTTGATTGTCGACAGTCTTGGATTTTGGTGTTGTTGAGAGGAGATAGGTCTTCTAACTCGACCATCTTCGAAGAGAAAAATAAGTTCTTAAAAAACATAGCATTGCTCTTACAATTGAACCATATTGATACTTGGAAGAGCTCCAAGGACCGTATCCTTTAACCAAGAAACGGTGAAAGGGGTATCGGTCTCTATTATAAACAAGTCAGATACATAATCCTTCTCTTTTGTTTTATATATGGTTTACTATACCCGACGTACCTTCAATGAATAAGTAAATTTTATGGTTCATACTTGGCAGTGTTCATTTCAATCTCTATTACTTACCACTATTTTTCATATTTTTTATGACGTTGCTTTAACTCCTGAGTACGTTTCTCTATAGGAGATAGCTTGTTCTTCGAGGTTGTACTTAAAATTTTATTGGACTTCTTTGGGAATCGTGCACGGTCAAGGGTTTATTCCCCTTTCCTGCACCTAGGTGAGAACCTAGTTCTAGGTTGGCGTGATTAGGACTCACATCAGCCTTTGGAGTGACTAGCTACCAAAAGAAAGGAGTGTCTTTAATTTCCACTTTGTGGTCTATTGTCTTTACATGAGTGTTAGCATTGCGGGACTATGATTACTTTAGTCGTACGTTGGTGGCGTTTATGACAGCATCCTTGAGACTTGTGTAGTGGATATTTGACTGCTTTAGTTTTACGTCATTGACGTTTGAGACAACACCCCTGACTCGTTGCTACATTTTATGATCACAAGGAAAAGAGAGATTAGTGAAGATTTATTTATTCTTTGCAGGAAGAAAATCATACATCACAATAGCATGTGGTTTTACATATGTAGTAAAGTAAATTAAACAGCATAGTAGCTGTTTATTGGTCACCAGAGCATTAGTATGGTATGTGGTGGTAGACTTAAATTTTTATTCAGAGTCTTCACTTACAATTGTCTAGTATGGTATGTGGTGGTAGACTTCAATTTTTATTCAGAGTCTTCACTACAATTGTCTGGCCAAAATATTTGATTTACTTATTGAGGGATAGATTTCCATATATCTTAATTGCATGACGATGAAGTCTACATTGATCTCCATAAACTTTCTTGTGTCCTTCATTTAATCACGCTGCAGATCTTTATGTATCCTCATTTCCCCATATAAGCCGGTGCATATTGACATTGACTCATCGTGGACGTTGTGATACATTAGCTTGAGATGAACCGAAGAAGCCATTGCGTCTAAATTTGTCGCAAATGGCTTGCCCATAATACAAGTGTAGCCACTTTAAAAAAGAACCACAAAAAATTGCAGGTCTACCATCTTGATGTCTCTTACTTATCCCAGGTTGACCACTAGCTCGATATATCCCTAGAGACAGATTACGCTGCCATTGAAATCTTATAAGTTAGATCCTTTATAGGGTCATAATTTCTTCTTCTAAAGAGCTCTTCCTACAAGATGTCACAAGAGCGAGTTTTCACTGTCAATGAGGATTCTAGAGACATTGAAATTGGTTAGGGTAGCCATTATGAACATAAGAGTTTGTTCGGAATCTCACCTACTTTTTCACTATCTCTAAATCCAAGGATAGGTTTTTCCGACTCTTCGATTGAAGTCTTCCCATTTTCTTTGCTCATAACCATCATCTCGACAATTTTCATTTCATCGTTCCCTTAGAGGGAGGGATTCTTTGCCCTTGGAAGACCGCTAGTAGTAGATGCAGAATATTGAAGTTTTCATATCAATACATATTGAGTTTCTTCGTATTTAGGCAACAATGGTGAATCGTGATATTACATATGTGAGAGTGTGTGCGGCCGATATGATATGTTGTTCCGAATGTTGAATATGAGAGTAAGATGTTACACAAGTGGTACATTTCAATTATGGAATTGTGAGCATAATTAATTTGTTATTGATTAGTTTAGTCAACTCAATTTAATAAGACATATTCTGTACAAGTATATCTCATACTTCAAAAATCTTGAATTGCCAATAAAAGTTGGTTGAATTATTAAGAAGTTAACTCACCCAAAGTTAGTGTGTTCAATTTCTGTCACTAATTGAGGATCTTTTTGGTGGATGGCGAGTTCATAAAACCCAACTCACCTAAACTTTTTATTGCCAAAAAACATCTTGTGGATTGAATAAGGATAGATGATTTCCCTTGAGATATCAGGAATACCATGATGAACATATCCAAGATTGAGCTAAAATTCCACCGGTTGTTTTAATTGTTGATCCAATGCATACAGTGTACTATAAATCAAGCTTCTTTGTGGATGGGAACAATCTCCAGCCACAAATATGTTATTTGTCCTCTCAACTTCGATCCAGCTGCATCCTGCTGGTTTTTTCAAATCTTTGTTCCTCATCATCTTTCTGACCTCCATTACCCCATCCCATCTAGCTTCTGCTGCGTACAAATTTGACATTAGAATATAGTTTCCAATATCATTATCTTCAATTTTGAAGAGTTTGTCAGCAACAATACGACCCAATTCGACCTCATGATAGGTTTTACAGGCCCCAAGCAATGTCCCCCAAATATTTGCATTAGCTTCAGTTGGCATCTTGGTCACAAAAGAATATGCATCACTGATGCGGCCACCTCGTGCTAGTAGATCCACCACACAAGCACACTGTTCCATAGTTGGTTTCATAGCATGGATTTTCTCTATGGAGTCAAATATCTTCAGTCCTTCATCTATGCGGCCGGCATGACTGCAAGCAGATAATATTGAAGTAAAAATAACATGATCTGGCTTGATTCCCAAATTTAGCATATGAGAAAAAATTTTAAGCGCGTCATCACTCATTCCATGCATAGCATACCCACCAATCATAGAAGTAAACATAACCAGATCCTTATCAGCACTTGATTGAAATATTTTATATGCAGAGCCTATGATGCCACATTTTGCATAAGCATCTAAGAGAGTTCCTTTAAGATGAAGATCCTCAAAACTTGACCGAATAATGTAACCGTGACACTGGCTTATTAAGTGAACTGATGCCATTTGTGTGCATACTGGGAGGAGGCTCATGATAGTCACCACATCAGGCTTCATCCCTAGAATTTGTAACTTTAAGAACAATTCAAGTGCTTGCTCAGGACAATCATTTTCAGCATATACTCTAACCATTAGATTCCAGGTGGTAAGGTCTGTCTCTTGCATCCCACGAAATATCATATTTGCATTATGATGTGATCCTAAACCCACATAACCTGATATCAATGAATTGCATGTGACCAGATTCCTTTTTTCTGATAGATTCTGAAATATTTTATTTGCATACTCAATGTTACCACATTTGGAATATGCATCAAGTATTGCATTCCCAACCGTTGGCGCAGTAGCACTAAATAAAGATTCAGTCCTAATTGAATAGCCGTGTATTTCTTTCACCTTTTCAACTCTCAAAAGAGAAGCACAAAAACGGATTATAGTTAATATTGTAACGTAGTCGGGTCTAATTCCTATTTTAAGCATCAAATGTAACAAACTGATAAATCTTGAATGATGCCTCTTCTCTCCAAAGGCATCCAAAATAGAATTCCATGAAATCAAATCTTTCCTAGATATCATAGAAAACACGTGATATGCTTCTTCTATATAGCCACATTTTGCATAGAAACTAACTAGAGCATTTCCAACAGAAGCATCTTCAAAAAGAAAAGGGTGTCTGAAAATATACGCATGGACTTGTTTCCCCACCAGCATGTTTTCCAATTGTGCACATGCTGGAAGTATGCTGACCATGGTCACAGAATCCAATAATAATGCCTCTTGAGACGCTAAATTACCAAATAGATACAACGCTTTTAACCATTCACCATTTGATGCATATCCTGCAATAATTGCATTCCAAGAGACTAAATCCCTTGCATTCATTGCCCAAAACAAAGACTCGGCTTCTTTCGTCCGTCCAATTTTTAAGTAGAAGCTCATCAAAGCATTACATACAAAAACATCACCAAACAATTCAGGCCACTGCAGCACATAAGAATGGATTTGCCTTCCACAACAGTACGCAACAGTGTCATCAAATGAAGCACAAACTGGCAGAATAGTGGCTATGGTTGCATAGTTTGGCTGTATAGGTCCTTTCACCATCGACCTGAACAACGAGAATGCTTCTTCTAACAACCCATTCTCAGCAAGGCCTGCGATCATCGCATTCCAAGAAACAACATCTTTGTGAATAATACTATCAAAGACAGCATATGCATCACAAGACACGAGTCCACACTTCGCATACATTGACATTAGAGCATTACCAGCAAATGCATCCTCTTCAAAACCAGATTTGATAACATAACCATGCACACTCTTTCCAGCATTCAGATTACCCGAACGAGCACACACAGGAAGAAGAGTAGCAACGGTAACAGAATTGGGCATAGCCTTTCCACTCATATGCATTGTCCTAAACACTCTCATCACATCAGCATCATGTTTACCAGACCCTGAAAACCCAAACAAAACAATGTTCCAAATGACAGGATCACAATGACTAAGCTGATCAAACAACCTGTGACAATCATCAAGCATACCACATTTGGCATACAAGTTAAGCAATGCTTTACCAGTAACATGGCAAGAAACATGACCTTGTTTAACAACATAACCATGCAGACATTTTCCCAAGTTGGCAGCCAAAAGGGCTGAACAAGACTTGAGAATTGCAGCAAGGACTTGGTGATCTGGCTTAAAAGCTGCAGAATCCTTCAAGCAATGATGGAAAAGGGACAAGGCGTTGTGCCTGGAATCCACGCATAAGCTCCTAATGATGGAAGCCCATGTCTTGAAACTGTGCTGAAGCATGCCCACGAGAATCTACCAATGGGACTTCAATGTTATACTGCCATATGAAAATACAACATGTGGAATGCTGCGAAAAAGCTTCAAAAATTGAGCTTTCAGTTTCTTCTTTCGTGTATGAGAAAAAGGATAAGAACGTTGTTGGATGACATTTTCACAAACAGTGGATGTGCAAAATGAAAAAGACCCAGTGATGAACTTCAATGCGTTGGTTGAAGCTGTTCAATGGGCTAACGGGAATACTCTAGAGGCACTCGAGGTTGAGTCTTGTGTTCGGCAACCATGTGGCAGGTCGCCAATTACGCTGTTTCGTAGGCGGGAAAATGACGAGCGGTGGCACCACAGAGAATAGACTGAGTGAGAAGAAATGCGGCTGCTGACCAGATTGAATTTGGTGTCGAAAGGTATTCTATCAGGTCCTCACAACTCAGTCTGTACTTTATGTCTTTCTTCAGGTGAAGATGAATTACATCTCTTCATTGATTGTCCAGTCAGATGTGGATGAGATTGTCATCGTGGCTGGATTTTGAGGGGGTTGACGTTGCAACTTTGGAGGATCACCTGGCTAACTTTTGCCATAGAACTGAAAGAAAATATAAAGAGAATTTACACAGTTTCTTTTGGTGTGCTAATTGTTGGATTATTTGGTTGCTTGGAAACAAACATTCTCTTTCAAGATGGTTTCATTTTGAGAGCAATTAAGTACCTAACCTCTTTTATACTTAAGCTTAGACTAACTTTAGCGCATGGTTGTTAAACTAAAATTTTGTAGAGCTTATAATAAAGAATTTGCATTATAGTAGAGCTTACATGACATTTAGTGAACTAAGTTTAATTTGCATTATAATAGAGCTGACATGACATTTAGTAAACTAAAGTTTAGTTTCCATTATCTATATAGTTAATGTTAACTATTCAATGTGAAACATATTATAATATTATTTAATATTAATAAAATATTTCAACAGTATTAAATTAATGGTAACTTGAATAAATTAATGGAGTCAAGTTTTGGTTTCTTATAGACAACCATCATTAAAGTAAAAACTACTCAAATCAACTATAAATTTTTTAAATCCTACAAAACACTTTGGCCCCACAAAAAATATATTAGTTTACTCCTATTAAAGATGCTCTTATGGGTCATCCATCTATTGAGAGAGGATTGTTTGGCTATTGGTGGGCTACTCCTTTTTAAAATAGAGTTGTGGAGCGACACAATATACTGAGTAGAGTTAGAAATTAGAAAAATCCACATTTTGTTCGCCTTGGATAAGTAAATTACTCGTGATATTTATTTATTTATAGTTATTGATTTTATCGAATTAAAAAGAGGATCAACAATCAGCAACACGTCGTGAGTTTCAAATTGCCGGTGGTGGAGAATAAGAAGGGAGAGTACATGCAAGACACTCTGATACCAAAGTGAAAAGAGAGAGTGAACAAATACAGAAAGCTAATGTGTTTAGAGTATCTGACCCTCCTCTGAAGGAGGGTATTTATAATGAGTCATCAGCGCTGGGTCAACGGTTATCTGTATTGGATTGGATCTTTAGGCTCAACATGGATAACTGTCAGGATCTACGTGACGTAGGGAAAATCAGCATGTGGTCTTCGTCTTAGGTCAACTTCCATGTGAACTTCTGGAGGTGGAAGACTTGTTCTTGAGGGCGAAACTGACACCCGAAAGTCATGGGTAGTTGGCTGGTGACGTGTCCCCGCGTGGGGAGCACGTTGTTGCACCCCAAAATTTGCCCAACCTTTTCTAACCTAGGTTTATGTTTCAATTGCATAGTCATTTGCATTGTCATCATGTACATAGTGTATTCATCTGCATAGGCAAGCTATCTTAATCAGGGGATCAGGTGCTGTTCTTATTTCAAGAGGTATATCCAAGGGTTTCATTCATATTCAAGACTACTCAGGTCATCAGGGAAGAATTTGAGCTTTGAAGAGCTGTCAGGTTGATCAGTGAATTCTCTCCTATCGTGAGGCTAGTGGAGGATCATCAGAGGAAATGTGAGCTATGAGCCAAGAGCATGAGGTGTGTATGGATGTTATGAAGAGTCTAGAGAATCATTTTTGAGGAGAACCAAGTCATTTGAATGATTGCAAGGACCTCAGTTGAAGTCAGTCAACTAGGGTCAACACTGGGTCAATTCTAGGTCAAAGAAGTGTTTTGAAGGGTATCAAGGATCATTTGAAGAATGGGGGATTCATTATTTGCTATATGGATATGGATATGATGTTGTGATAAATAAAAATCAAGAGGAGTCAAGGAGAACTGGAGTTACTAAATTAGGGTTTCAGTGTAAAATCCCCTGATTTAGGTCAAACTTCAAAGCAGTGTAACTCAAGATGCAAGCTTCATATGGATTCTTGGTCCACATGAAACTTGTATAGTATCTTCATAGCTTTAATTTGAGGGGTGTAAGTCATCAATATGATTTATAGAACTCAAGTTATGGCTCTTGCAAGTTACAGGTCATCCGAGGGCACTGAAATTTGTCTATGAAAATTGTCTGTCTTCCAAGCAACTTTTGACCTTCAAGGGTATTTCAAATGGATTTCTGGCCAACATAAGAATTTTTCCTTATTGTCTTATATTTCTAGAATGGTATGGTATGCCTTCATATGATTTATGGAACTCTACTTATGGTCTTGGCAAGCAAAGGGTATTTTGGTCATTTGAGGATTACAGGTCATTCTTAGTATATGCCTAAAACTCATACAAGGAAGCTTCAAATGAAAAACTTCACAACATCAAAGTTGTTCAAAATGGGATTTTAAGGCTAGAAAAGAAGGTGTGAAAGTTTGGAAAAGCTTAGAGCATGGAATTTTAAAATTGGTGCAAATGACTTGAAAATGGCTTATAAGTTGAAAAAGTTGAAATGAAAAATTGGTTTGGGAGATCTACAAATCCAATATGGGTCATCCAATATACCAAATTGATTCCAAACATCATTTTAAAGACATTGGTTCAGCCACTTTTTTGAGTTAGGGTTTAAAAATTGGACTTGCTTTGTATTTTTGTTACTTGCATAATAAGGCAAGTATAGAAAACTTGGCACAAGATGAATTTTCAAGGCAAGGAGCTTACATACACTTCCCATATCTCATGTAAGGAGATTTTGACATAAGAGATATTCAAAGTATCATGGCATGAGAAGTTCATGAAATTTCCACAACTTTCTAGAATCCTCCAAGATTATTCTAGAAACCTCTAAGTTTGTTAATCATCATCTATATATTGGATTGAGATCATTAAGAGTAAAGGTTGGTGATAGTTGATGTTGAATCCATTTTTCTCCATTTGCAAATCATATTGAATTTTTTTTCTCTTCACCATTTTTTCCATTTTTCCCACACTTTCACATTTTGGAATTTCCATTTTTTTCAATCTTTTTTTTCTCTCACTTTCCATACTTTTTCTCTTCACCAATCAATTACACAACAATTATAGAGATGATTCATCATTTTTTTTGAGAGAATTGGAGCAAGAGGAACCTTGTAGTAACATGAAAAAGTGGTGAAAACTCAAATTCCAATTTTCACTTTTTCATCAATTCAAGACTTGTCAAGGCTTCAAACATATTCACCAAGTATTGTTGAGTGATTCTACATCATTTTCTCAAAGAATTGGTGATCGAGTGAAGCTCCATAAGCCATTTTTCGGAGGTATAAAGAATTCGACATAACTCATGATTTATGAGTCTTTCTTGCATTATTGTTGATGCATTACATTGCTCTCATCTCCTACATGGATTCTAGTACAAAAAAGATGGGTTTTATGACAATTTTTGGTTCTTGAGTTTTTCTTGAGGTGCCACATTTTGGGAGTTAGAGAGAGTTTCAAGAAAATCTAAGACCATATTTGGATTCCTTGATTTTTTTCCTTCAAGTTTGACCCAAATTTTGTGCGAAACGGATAATTATTGATGGAGTTATGGTGCTTCAAAGTAGCAAAAAACTCATGTTCATGGGGCTGCGGGTTACTATTCACAAAGTTGAAAAATTTGATTTGGAGAAGAAGGTGTTAACACCGTCGGATGCATTTCCAAGTCAAGGTTTCTTCCATTCATCCAACGCCTCTCACTGCGCCACGTAATCGGCCACATAAGCCTCATGCCACTTTTATTTATTCATGTTATTTTCTTTTATTTTCCTATTGCCATGTTTCTTTTATTTTTTCTGTTTTATATGCTGACTTCAAATAATCATAAAAAATAGGAAAATTAGTCTTTTTGATCCCCATTTTTTTGTGCTGAATCTTTAAGATGTCTAGGATTTAATAAAACTGGAATTATAATTTTACTATTTTTTGACATTTTCTTTGGATTTTTTACATTTGGGTCGTCATAAAAAGGCCAATGCTGGTGCTATCATTTTGTTGAATTTCTTTGACCTATCAAAACACAATTTAAATGTCAATCCTTTTGCAGGGATCTCATACACACGTTGAGGTATTGTGATATATTTTTGTGGGAATTTTATTGTACCATTTTAATTGGTTTTGGATGCTTTCTTTAACATGTTCCACTTTAATTTTTCCTTTGGTATACATGAGATATCTTGCAATGTTTTCATCTTGTTTGACCATTTATCTTTGGATATTTTTGTGGTATCTCTCACCCCTGGTTTGTGGCTTGATGTAGGGCATTGGAGAGTTTTATTTGAATTTTTTAGCACCTTTTGCTATTTTTCTTATGTTTTGTATTCGAACTTGTAATTTGGACTTCCGAACGGACTTTATTTTTGTTAAGGCTCCAACGGCCGATTTGTGTTTGCGTGGTGAATGCCGTGGTTTATATTTCTTATTATAGATAGGGTAGAGGTATTTGAAGACCCCTAGGTGGCTGTTATTTGTATGTGTAGCTTGCCCAATTATCGACTTGTTTGCATGATAGCACGTTGCGATTCCAAATAGTGGATTACGCGTTTCATTCGGAGTTTTCACTCGATTCTTTGCATATGATCACTTGATATTTTCTTATTCCATCCAT